ACACACACACACCTGGTGTAGATCACATTCCAGCAAGGAGGTGTGAGCTCCGGCTCACCAAATGACCAATAGGATTACAATGCATGAATTGTTGTACCTTTGTTGAGTGCAGAGCAGCCCAAGAAGATAAAATGTATTGTAAGACCTGAATTCGGAGTCAGTGGAAGAAACTCCTGCGGGAGCTCTGTCTCTCTGATCCCAGCACTGCAAGGCCTACCTGTGATCAGACATTCAGTAAACTTTCTGCTGATTTTAAAGAGTCCTCTCCTGTCGTCACTTCTCATGCTTCCAACAAAAGAATTGGGTTAATTTCTAACAAAAAGGTTAGAATCTAACAATTGGAATAAATACAATCAAAGTGACAACATAACAGGGTCCATAATACTTACAACCAGGGAAGGGCAGTGATAACTAAGGAGACCAGGACGAACAGGTAAACACACAAACTAACGGCAGGAAACAGGGTAAGTATTGTCCATAACATATAGCAATGCTCCGGAGACGAATCAAAAATATGTAATGTAGTGTGATAGAGTCAAGCCAAAACACACAGTGTCTGTCAGCATAGCATTCTATCAGCAGTACTTGGTTATGTACAATATGTAGTGTAAATTAGTGTAGCGCGCAGGTAGTGTGGTAGAGTCAAGCCAAAACGCAGTGTCTGTCAGCATAGCATTCTACCCCAATCCAGGTTGCGCAGTACATAGCTAATGTTCCAGCGACGACAGAGCGTCTGCCAGAGGTATAAGTAAGGAGCAGGTAATCATCGGGATGCATCCCAGCTGTGTGCATTGACAAACTAGTTGCTAATTACTGGAATGCAACACAGCTGAGGTGCAGAGCCCACATGATAGAGAGAGCAGAGGCCCACGAACTGCCAAAATACAGACAGCACATCACCTGTCCCACCAGGGACAAAGTCACACTGGACCACTGCTATTCAACAATAAAAGATGCCTATCACTCTGTCCCCCGTGCAGCCCTCGGACTCTCTGATCACTGTATGGTCCATCTTATTCCAACCTACAGGCAGAAACTTAAAGCTGCGAAGCCTGTGGTCAAAACAGTGAAGAGCTGGACTGAGGAGGCTAAGTCAGAGCTACAGGCCTGCTTTGACGCACAGACTGGAGTGTATTTGAGACTACAGCTACAGACCTGAATTGACTCACTGACACTGTGACATCTTATATCAGCTTTCGTGAGGAGGTGTGTGTGCCCAAAAAGTCCTTCTGCACATACAACAACAAGCTCTGGTTCACAGCCAGACTCAACCAACTTCGTCGTGCCAAAGAGGAGGCTTACAGGTGTGGGCACAGGACTCTGTACAGCCAGGCAAGGAACACACTGACAAGAGAGATCTGAGCAGCAAAGAGGAGCTACTCTGAAACGCTGAAAGCTCAGGTTTCAGCCAATGACCCCTTGTCTGTGTGGAGAAGCCTGAAACCATCACTAGTTATAGGAACCCCGCCCCCAATGTGGAGGACCGTCAACTAGCAGACAACCTGAATGTGTTCTACTGCAGGTTTGACAATCAACACTCCCCCCCTCACCCTCCCCACTTCAGATCCAGCAGCTGCTCCCCTGACAATCACCACCCTTCCCTCCAGCCCCCCACCTCTAACGATCTGTGAAAAGGATGTACGTGGCCTCTTTCAAAAACAAAGGATCAGAAAGGCATCAGGCCCAGATGGTGTGACCCCCCTCCTGCCTGAAAGTGTGTGCTGATCAGCTGGCCCCCAACTTCACACTCATCTTCAACAGGTCACTGGAGCTGTGTGAAGTCCCCTCCTGCTTCAAATGCTCCACCATCATTCCAGTCCCCAAGAAAACCTCCGTTAGTGGACTGAACAACTACAGACCTGTCGCCCTGACATCTGTAGTTATGAAGTCCTTTGAAAGACTGGTGGCCCACCTGAAGAAACCGTAGACCCCCTGCACGTTGCCTGCCGGGCAAACTGGTCAGTGGACGATGCAGTGAAATTGGCACTACATTACATCCTGCAACACCTCGACTCCCCAGGGACCTATTCACAGGTCCTTTTTGTGGACTTTCGGCATTCAACACCATCATCCCGGACGTCCTCCACTCCAAACTGACCCAGCTCACTGTGCCTGCCCCCACCTGTTAGTTGATTACTAGCTTTCTGACAGACAGGAAGCAGCAGGTGAGGCTGGGGAAAACCACATCCAGCACCTGGACAATAAGCACAGGTGCCCCCCAGGCATGTGTGCTCTCTCTCCCCTCTGCTGTTTTCACTCTACACCAACGACTACATCTCAAAGGACCCTTCTGTCAAGCTCCAAAAGTTTGCAGATGATACAATGGTCATTGGTCTTATTCAACACAGAGACGAGGACGAGTCAGCCTACAGGCGGGAGGTTGAGCAGCTGGTCCTGTGGTGTAGTCACAACAACCTGGAGCTAAACACGCTCAAAACAGTGGAGATGACAGTGGACTTCAGGAAGAGCCCCCCCACCTTACCCCCCTCACTATACTTGGCAGCACTGTATCAGCAGTAAAGTCCTACAAGTTCCTGGGCTCCACCATCTCCCAGGACCTGAAGTGAACATCCAACATCAGGACCATCATCAAGAAGGCACAGCAGAGTATGTACTTCCTGCGCCAGCTTAGGAAGTTCGACCTGCCCCAAGAGCTGCTGATACAGTTCTACAGAGGAATCACTGAGTCCGTTCTCTGCACCTCCATCACTGTCTGGTTTGGCTCAGCAACCAAACAGGACAAGTACAGACTTCAGTGGACAGTGAGGACTGCAGAAAAGGTCATTTGTGCAAGCCTGCCCTCCAAGAAGGACTTGTACACCTCACGGGCCAAAAGGAGGGCAGAGAGGATCACTGCAGACCCCTCACACCCTGGACACAATCTGTTTGAACTCCTCCCCTCTGGACTGCGTTACAGGTCAATGTG